CTCGATAGAATCCACGGCCCGTTGACCTGCCTCCTCTGTGAGTTGGGTTACCCTGTGTGGGTTGTGATGGTGAGGGCCGAAGAGACAAAGTTGACGACTCTGTGAGTTGGGTTACCCCGTGTGGGTTGTGATGGTGATGGCCGAACAGACAAAGTTGACAAATCTGCCGCGACTCCAATGTTGTGTAAAGCACTGTCCGAAAATGTTGATGAATTATTTTCAAATTGTCTGAAGATTCTAGCCGTTTCTTGATCTAAAGTCGATGTGACCACCAAATTTGTATACTCTTGTTGAAGAAAATTTATTTGGGCTGCCACACACGTAAATAAGCAATTCAATGCACCTTCTGAAACATTTGGGCCATTGCTAGTGACCGGAATCTGGTGTAGGATTTTAATGGCAGTTTCTGAGTATCTGGCACATTTTGACAATATTTTCAATGCTTGTTTACAGTCCTGCTTTATTCCCACTGGGCTATCTCTCACTTTGTAATTATCAAGAACAGGAGTATGTTGAAGAGTTTCTTTGATTCGTTCGAAATCTCTCTGAAAATCAGCTGCAGTAGACGAAGAAGTCGTCACACTGGGACTGGTAGTAGTGGGATCGCTATTCGACCTGTCGTGGTCTGATGTGTCATTCGCTAGATCCGCGTTCACATCTTGAGCAGGAGATTTACTTTCTTGTTTCTGAAGGTTATCAATGCGTTCATTGATTTTATCAAATTGTAATTGAAAACTAGATAACTGATGGAGTATCTTAGAAATGTCTTCCTTCGCAGCCATTGGCAATAAGGATAAAATAGATTTATACCAGACTCTGTAAAATTTACTAGATCTAGATCTACATGTTTATTTCATACTTGGTCTTGTGTGTATCACACAGCAAACCAGGGCCAGGCCGGCTGGTAAGCTTAGACTAGATCTAGATATGTAGATTTAGATAGTCAAGTATTTTGAAAATTCACATCGTCATATATCTACTTATCACTCTGATGTTAAATCAACACTGGTGTATAAACTGTCCGTTTGGAATGATAAATCTAGGTTTCGTTCCCCTTTTACCGATGAAACAAATCAAATTGTATGAAGTAAACATCTGAGATTCATTATGGCGGCCGCTTTGTGAAGGTGCACAATTGCAAAGACGACGTGGAACGTTTTTAATAAATAACGTTCCGCCAAAGATATAGTGCACATCGGGTAACAAAAATTACTCAAAATGATTCCCACTCCTTCCGCATGGTGCTTGTTTTCCCTCCCTGAATACAATATTTGTTCCCCCGAGCGGAGCTGCTTCTGTCCAGACTGTATCCAGTGGGTTTCGCTGACTCCTAGTATGTGCAGTAGGGCTGGAGTCTGCTCGATTAATCGAAGGCTTGCGAGCAAACGGACGGCTCGTGCCAGAGGCTTGCGAGCGGGCTTGAGTCTTGCCCGCTACCGGAGTTGCTACTCGTGGACGGCGGACGGGCTTACTGATTTGTGTCGTGACGTCACAAACTTTTGTTTACTGAGCGCGCGATACTTCTGCCCGCGTGCCGCACGCTGACAAGCCCTAAAAACCCCTCACACTTCCAGCAATGGCGCTGTTTGGGGAGGGGAGGGGGTGGTATGGCTGGGAAAGTGAGAGGTGTTCGCCACCCCGCGCTTTCCGTAGAACCCACCCCTCCCCTTACGCCTCCTGGTGTGACAGGGTTTTATTTGTCTTGTTTGTTTTTTTGTTGTTGTTTTTTTTTTTTGGGGGGGGGGGTTTGGTTCAGTTTTTTGTTGATTAAAAAAAAAAATTATTGGGGGGAAGGATTATGTTTTGCTTTATTGATTTTCTGGGCGTAATTCGACATCATAATTAATATTTGCATGATAGAACATGCACAATACATACATAATATCAGTTACAGTGCAGCAAGATGTTTTTAAAAAAGTTATAGGCCTACAATGTAATTAACAATGTGATATAATTAACCTTAACAACGATCTTCTGATAGGGAAGCAGACAAATCAAAAGTTTCTTACATTGTTCAGAAAACAAATCACGATTGTCATCCCCTCCCCAATGCATTCTCTTCAACTTCAACTTGTTCTAAGTGTCGGGGTGGGAGTGGAAGTGTAGTTTAGGCGAGTGATTCAATTACAAGCCACGGGATGCTAATAATACTGATTTATTTTGTCAGTTAAAAATTGTTTGTAAGTCCCACCTTTATTCTGCGTCCTAAATAGTTTAGCATACCGCGACCCCAGTGCTTTCTTGTTGTATCTCCATTTTTAATACCAGTGAAAACAGCTCATAACAAAATGTGAGCCTACGAAGATGTCACATTTTCACCGTTAAAGCACCGAGGTCGCGAACGGTCTGCACTAGACTATTACAGCCCTCTTCGCCTTGCACCAAAACCAGCGCTGCCTCTCGCTTCCTCCACGTCCAGAGTTCAGAGTTCACGCCGCGAGCGGGGTGGATTACCGGTAGATCTTGCTGTTCGGTGCAGGCGAGTGTGTTTTGCCAGGGCGGTAGTTGGACCCAAAGCAGATTTATTGACAGGAGAGCAAGCCCTTAGCACAAAGCAATACGAGACGCAAAGCAGGTCTTGGGACCAAGTGCTTTGCTTTGCTGCGATTTGAGTCTTGCCTGCCGTCCGCTGCTCGTATGCCTTCGAATAATCGAACAGACTAGTTTGTGGCGCAGTGACACTGTGCGCGGGGTATCTCTCTCTCTCCCCCTCCTCCTCTCTTTCTGACGTTACGGGTTTCGCGGATTGCTAGCAGGGAGGGGAAGGAAGAGGGGGTCAGACACGAGTGGCTTCGCGGATTGCAATTTGGTGTGTGTACTTGAAGCTTAGGCTAGACTCAACGTATCATGCTGGTGATTTGATTTGATGATTTGACCTAGTGATTTGAGGCGTGTGACTTGAACTAGGGTCTTGCGAGCGCGAGCGTGTTTGCTACCGGGGTACAGCCCTAATGTGCAGCCTGTATCTCTTCATCTCTTGTACTACTTGAGAACTCTTTCCTGCTTCATACAAGGTGCGAACATTCCACGACGCTATCCCGAGAGACTTGTTCCTCAGAGAAGGTTTCAGGTCAGGAGAGTCCTTTTGGCTTTGTCCGCTGTCCTTCATTGTTCCTGCTGATGCAGAAGCTCCTCCGTCTCCCAAGATGGAAAAATAAAAAGCTGTGTTTGTCCGTGTTTCTGTAACTTACTGTTTTTTACCGGGTCGGGTAGTTGGCCCTCCCCAAACTGGCACTTTTCGGGCGACCACATCTATGCACCTTTAGTCGCCTCTTACGTCACGCAGTATCACGGCAGATGTATCCTTTGCTCCCCCATTGTAAAACTATGCCCCCCCCCCCCCCCCAACCTGCAGGGGCGACTGCTACTCTTTGGCTCTTTCTTATTGCTGTCTTTTACCCACATCCCCGATCTTCTGGTAGGAAAGATCTACACCTAGTCTTCTGGGACAAGGGCGAAAAATCATGGAGGTCCCGTGTGCAAGTTGCGCACGTTAAAGATCCTTTGGTGGTATAAAATCGGTAAGAGTAGGCTTCGGTCGCCACCCGGGCAAAATTCGAAATTTCCTCCCAAATGAAAATGTTTATTGTGTCCCGCGCGCTCATATGACCTTATGCAGTTGCGAGCGCCGTGAAACACTTACCAAATTATATTTTCCAAAGGATATTCACCAGTGGTAACCTGACCAGTAATTCGCTCTTTGGGGTAATCCAAGCGATGACGACACTTGTAGCGAGTCATTGGTGTGAGAGATAGAGAGAAAGAGAGAGAGAGAGAGATGGAGAAAGAGAGAAGGAGAGAGTGAGGGGGGGGGAGAAAGAATGAGAAAGAGAGACAGAAGGCGGAGT